CTTTTCTTAGAATCAAAGGATACACAAAACAGTTCTGGAAGCTGACTCCTCAAAGATGAGTATCTCAAGGTAGGAGGGGGCTTTTGGTTTTGTTTTTTTGAGACAGAGTTTTGTTCTTGTTGCCCAGGCTGGAGTGGAATGGAGTGATCTCGGCTCACTGCAATTTCGGCTGCCCAGGCTCAAGCAATTCTCCTGCCTCAGCTTCCCGAGTAGCTGGGATTACAGGTGTGCGCCACTATGCTTGGTTAATTTTTTTTTCTTTTCGTAGAGATGGGGTTTCACCATGTTGGCCAGGCTGGTCTTGAACTCTTGACCTCAAGTGATCCGCCCGCCTTGGCCTCCCAAAGTGCTGGTATTACAGGCATGAGCCACCACGCCCAGCCTAAGAGGGGGCTTTTGGAACCCAACTATTGATTCCTTTTAACCCTCATTTGACTTTTTTTTTTTTTTTTTTTTAAAGAGGCAGGGTATCCCTCTGTAGGCCAGGCTGGAGCACAGTGGCGTAATCACAGCATTGACCTCCTGGGCTCAAGCAATTCTCTTGCCTCAGCCTCCCAAGTAGCTGGGACTACAGGCGCGCACCACCACACTCAGCTAATTTTCTGTTTTTTCAAGACACAGTCTCACTCTGTCACCCAGGTTGGAGTGCAGTGGCTCAATCTCTGCTCACTGCAGCCTCTCCCTCCTGGGTTCAAGTGATTCTCATGCCTCAGCCACCCAAGTAGTTCCTAGTAGCTGGGATTACAGGCATGCACCACCATACCCAGATTACTATTATTATTTTATTTATTTATTTTTTTTGAGATGGAGTCTCTCTCTGTCTCTCACGCTGGAGTGCAGTGGCACGATCTCCACTCACTGCCAGCTCCGTCGCCTCCCAGGTTCACGCTATTCTCCTGCCTCAGCCTCCCAAGAAGATGGGACTACAGGTGCCCACCACCATGCAGGGCTAATTTTTTTTGTATTTTTAGTAGAGATGGGGTTTCACCGTGTTCACCAGGATGGTCTCGATCTCCTGACCTTGTGATCTGCCCGCCTCGGCCTCCCAAAGTGCTGGGATTACAGGCGTGAGCCACCGCGCCCGGCCACTATTATTATTATTATTATTATTATTTTGAGATGGAATCTCACTCCATTGCCCAGACTGGAGTGCAGTGGCAAGATCTCAGCTCACTGTAACCTCCAATTCCCAGATTCAAGCAATTCTGCTGCCTCATTCTCCTGAGTAGCTGGGATTACAATAGTGCACCTGGATATCTTTTTTATATCTTTTTCTAGTAGAGATGGGGTTTCACAGTGTTAGCCAGGATGGTCTCGATCTCCTGACCTCATGATCCACCCGCCTCGGCCTCCCAAAGTGCTGGGATTACAGGCGTGAGCCACGGCGCCCGGTCAATTTTTTGTATTTTTAGTAGCGGGGTTTCACTATCTTGGCTAGGCTGGTCTCAAACTCGTGGCCTCAAGTGATTCGCCGGCCTTGGCCTCCCAATTCCAAGGCCCAAGTCCCCCAAAGTGCTGGGATTACAGGTGTAAGCCACCTCACCCGGCCTTCCCAGCTAATTTTTATATATTTTTTGTAGAGACAGGATCTTGCTAAGTTGCCCAGGCTGGTCTCGAACTCCTGGCCTTAAATGACCCTCCCACCTCGGCCTCCCAATTGCTGGGATTACAGGCATGAGCCACTGTGCCCAGAACCTCATCTGAGTCTTGAAACTAAAATTAACATTCCTTTGACTTTGTCCTTTGGGAGACTGTTTAATCAGTTCTACTGAGTAGATACTACTTATTTTACAATGTTTAAAACAAAACAAAAAAAAAAAAACCCTACATTTTTAACCCCTAAAAATAAACTATAGGAAAAAATATAAAGCTAACATTCTTCACAGGGTTCTCACCACCTTACAGGCAGCTGGGGTCTGCGGGATGCTGAAATATGCCCCCTGCATTCCAACCATTGCCTTTGGTGTTAGTTTTCCCCAGGTCCTCCCTCCCACAGTGGCATAAGGGTTCTGGAACTTCTGCTAGACTTGCTCCTACCCTAGACTCTGTTTCTGGGCTCATGCAGTTTACTTTCTGACTTTGTCCACACTCCTGTCTCTGCCGGGACAGCTCTCCTACCCATCTCTGCTTAACTTTGTCTCCTTTCTAGCATTTCACTCATGGAGAGATCTCAGTGAATGTTCCCAGTCAACTGCAAAGGCCTGGCTCCAATGCCTCCTCCTCCAGAAAGCTTTCCTTGATCTCCAGCTCCCCAGCTCCCCAGCTGAAAGTCATCCCCCACGTCTGGAGCTCCCACAGCTTCTGGTGATGGTGAGGGGGCAGCAAGCTCAGGACTTCCCACGCTGCTCCATTACTAGTCACTTACATAGAGTTGTGCAGGTAGCATCTCAGGGTGATGAAATGTCCCTGTGGTGAGGAGCTAGGCCAGCCCACGCTGTTCCAGGCCTAGGTCCCCCACTCATGGCCATGAGCTCCCTGAAGCCATAGCAACCCTGGGTTGGAGGCACCCTTGTTACCATTTCACATAGTCAAACACAGGCTCAGGGAGGCAATGCCACACCCAAAGCCAGTGGCAAGTAAGTGGCAGATCTCAGACTAAAATTTGTTTTTTAGTTTTGTGGGGTTTTTTATATCAGCCTACATCATGCCTTTTTTTTTCTTTTTTGAGATTGAGTCTTGCTCAGTCGCCCAGGCTAGAGTACAGTGGTGCTATCTCGAGTCACTGCAACCTCTGCCTCCTGGGTTCAAGGAAGTCTCCTGCCTCAGCCTCCCCGGTAGCTGGGATTACAGGCATGTGCCACCACGTCTGGCTAATTTTTGTATTTCTAGTAGAGATGGGATTTCGCCATGTTGGCCAGCCTGGTCTCAAACTGCTGACCTCAGGTGATCTGCCCGCCTCGGCCTCCCAAAGTGCTGGGATTACAGGCATGAGCCACTGTGCCTAGCCTGAGCCACTGCACCTGGCCCATCATGCTTTGACGGGACTAAAATTTGGATCTGCTAGGCGTGGTCACTCATGTTTGTATTCCCAGCACTTTGGGAGACTGAGGCAGGAGGATCACTTGAGGCCAGGCATTTGAGACCAGCCTGGGCAACATAGTGAGACCCCATCTTTAAAAAAAAATTTTTTTTTTTGGCCGGGTGTGGTGGCTCACACCTGTAATCTCAGCACTTTGGGAGGCCAAGGCAGGCAGATCATGAGGTCAGGAGATCGAGACCATCCTGGCTAACACAGTGAAACTCCATCTCTACTAAAAATACAAAAAATTAGCTGGGTGTGGTGGCAGGCACCTGTAGTCCCAGCTACTCGGGAGGCTGAGGCAGGAGAATGGTGTGAACCTGGGAGGTAGAGCTTGCAGTGAGCCGAGATCGCGCCACCGTGTTCCAGCCTGGGCGACAGAGTGAGACTCCATCTCTTTAAATTAGCAGTGGCACACACATGTAGTCCTAGGGACTTAGGAGGCTAAGGTGGGAGGATTGCTTGAGCCCAGAAGCACAAGGCTGCAGTGACAGACAGAGAGAGATCCCATCTCTTAAAAAATAATAATAAAAATAAAAGTTGGATCTGATGGATTGCAAAAAACAAGCGCAAAGCACCGTATGATTCTTCCGTGGGTCCCACCTGGACCAGGAGCCCTTTGAATTCAGGGCCTGGTGCTCCTTGCCCTCTGCCTATTCTCAGTACTCGGCACAGGGCCTTGCTCAGGGTGGGGGCTCCTGGGGGTAGAAGGCCAAGGGCTTTGGCTATAGTCCTGGCATCAAACTCGGGGTGTAATCCCAGTTCTTCCTCATAATATCAGGTTGGTGTAAAAGTAACTGTGGTTTTCACCATTAAAAGTATGCGGGGTAGGGGGCTAGGGGAGGGAGAGCATTAAGAAAAATACCTAATGTAGATCATGGCTTGATGGGTGCAGCCAACCACCATGGCACGTGTATACCTATGTAACAAACCTGCATGTTCTGCACATGAACATGTTACCCCAGAACTTACAGTATAAAAAAAAAAAAGAAAAAAAAAGTAATGTGACCCAGGGCAAGTCACTGCACTTCTCTGGACCTCAAGTTTCCCATCCGTAAATGGGCACAAGAAGGCTCTCCCTACCCAGTGATGAGGGAGAGAATCAAAGATCTCTCATGTAAAGAATGCCTCTCTTCCAGTGTCTAGCAGCCAGCACAGGGTCTGCACACAGTAGGCACTCAATATGTTATTTATGATTATGATTATTACTATCATTGTTATTTCAAAACTGCATTTGCTTTTTTTTTTCCCAGGCTGGGGTGCAGTGGCGCAATCTCAGCTCACTACAACCTCTGCCTCCGGGGTTCAAGCAATTCTCCTGCCTCAGTTTCCTGAGTAGCTGGGATTACAGGCACGCACCACCATATCTGGCTAAGTTTTTGTATTTTTAGTAGGCAAAGGGTTTCATCATGTTGGCCAGACTCGTCCTGAGCTCCTGACCTCAGGTGATCCACCCGCCTTGGCCTCTCAAAGTGCTGGGATTACAAGCCTGAGCCACTGTGCTCTGCCAAAACTGCATTTCAGTGTTCCCAGTACCCAGGATAAATTAAGCTTTGGATAAATCTGAGCTGTGCCCATTATCTGTGATAAAGAACTGAGTCATCCTCTCCTGCTCCCTGCTCCCAGAGGCAGCACACAGTAGGTGCACAAAGATTGGGTGGGATTGGAAGGCTGCATCGTTTGCACAGAGACACTGTTGGGGACCCATCCAGCTGGCAAGTGGGTGGGGTCAGATGATATCAAATACTGGGATGCCCTGAGTTTGGGGCCAGGAGAGAATAATGGCTGGTGTAGGAAGAAGGTGCGGAGAATGAAACTGGATCCAAATGCTGCCTCGACTCCGAGAACCTCCCCTCCCGGGGAATACACAGTGAGGTCTGGCTCCTAACAAGGCTTGAGGAAGGGCTCTGCCCACCCGTAATGGAACAGGCTCTGAGACCTTCAGTGTCCTCTGACCAACCCCTGGCCCAGCCCCTCCTACCTTCACATAGTCGCCGCCAGCCTCCGGCTCTCCAGCAGCCCTGGAAGGAGAGGAGACAAGTGAGCATCCCCAGCCCTGCTTGGCTCCCCAGATGCCAGTCTCTTGCCTGCCTGCCTGCCTGGGGCCAGCACCTGGCCCTTGGGACCCCAGCAGGCTCACCCTGAAGGCAGGAGGGGGCACTTATCAGCTGGCCTGGCTCCTCCACTTTCCAGCTGTGCACCCCTAGGCAAGTCCCTTCACCTCTCTGAGCCTGCATTTCGTATCTGTAAATCAGGAATAATGACAGTCTCTGCCTAATGACTTTGACTGGAGGACTCAGGGCTTAATGAACGTTAACCTGCTTATTATGGAGCCTGCTTCCCGAACCACTGTCTTCCCTGGACTACGGACACTATGCTTCCCTGGTTTTCTTCTTCTCTCTGCCCTCCCCACCCCCTCCTCCCACCCCACCCCCATCATCCCTGACTCTAAACCCTGGAGGGCCCCAGGCTGGGGATCAGCCCCTGTCCTCCTACCCTGCACTCACTTCCTAGGGTAGAGTGACCTAGTCACGGCCACTGCCAAGCACACTGCGGAGCCACTGCTGATGCTAGAGGGCTAAGGAATTGACTCCGCCCCCAGGGTGGAGAGCCTGGAGAGGCCAGAGGCCAGAGGTGGCTATTTTTCCTTCCTTCTTCCTGAGGGCCACCATGAACCACTCCCCCCACTGCACTGCCTTAAATGCTACCCCTACCCTCAGGCAGCCTGGACCTGCCCCTCCATCCCCAGACTTGGAAACCCAACTACCTCCTGGATGCCTCCCCTTGGATATCTGAAGGCTATCTCCAACTTGTTGTATCCAAAGCAGAACTGTGGCTCCTCCCCGCCCCCTCCCCATCTTCCCCGGCTCAGCTGATGTCAGTTTCCTCTTTCCTGCCACTTTGGCCAAAAACCATATGGTCCTTTGTGCCCCTTCTCTTCCATTCAGCTCCACACCCAGTCCATCAGGAAATCCTGCCGCTCCACCGTCAGAATCTTCTCCGCATGTCCACCCCGTCCCCACAGTGGGGCCACCCTCGTGTCTCCGGTGGAGCAGAGAAGCCTTCCCTCGGGCTCCGTGTCCACTCTCATCACCCACAGTCAGCTTCTGCCCTGAGACCAGAAGGCGCCCAAGCTTACAACCTAAGCAGATCATGGCACACACACCATCCTCAGCCTTTCAGCGGCTCCCATCTCTAGAAGAACACAATCTAAACTCCTCTCTGCGGCCGTGCAATTTATCATCCAAACCAGAACTTTTCTTCCTTTGCAAGAGTAAAGAGGGTACCATGATTATGCCAGAAAAACAGGCAAAAATTGGCTCATCTGTTCCCTAACCCACAAGGTCCTGTGTGGCCTGCTGGTATCCAACAGCCACCCCACCACCTCTCCAGCCTGTCTCCCTTGCACCTCCTGTCCCTTATTCTGCCTCTGCCCCACCCTCCTTGGCAATTTGTTCCGGCCACAGGGCCTTCGCTCTTGCTGTTCCCTCTGCGTGGAATGCTCTTCCCCAAGGGCTTCATGAAGCTTGTCCCTCCTCCCTCTTTATTCAGGGCTTTGCTTAATGTCACCTCTTTGGAGAAGCCTTCCCTGACCTCCCCACCTCGAATAGTCCCTCATTCCTTCACTCTGTGTTCCCAATCCTACTTTATTTTCAATTTTTGCAATTTCTGCCTGAAATGGTCACTTTATATTTAATTGCTGACTTAATTATCTGATGCCCTTATGAAAGTGTTGACTTTGTCTAATTCACCATTGAGACCCAGTCATCAACATAGTGCCTGCAGGAGCTCAAGAAATATTGCTTAAAGAAAAATTAGCCGGGTGTGGCAGCGAACGCCTGTAATCCCGGTTACTTGGGACGCTGAGGCAAGAGAATCACTTGAACCCAAGAAGAAGAGGTTGAAAGAAAGCAATATTGCTTAAAGGGATGCATGAATAGTAAACAGTCATGTTAATTGTTAATCGCTGTCATCATTAATTTTGTTAGGTTGGGCCCAGGTTCTCTGGCTAAGAAAGGCCTCAGGCTTCCCATCTGCAAAATGGGGAGGAGAGGTCAAATATTGGACCACCTCCTCAAATACAGGAGCTTCATATTTTAAAAAAAAAAAGGAAGCCGAGATAAAAAATAAAATTGTGGGTTCCCCCAATCCTAAGGCCAAAAGCTCCTCCTCCTTGAGACGTTATCTGATAGCCCTCCCTGTTCTAACATTCTAGGATTCTTCATCTCTAATCTTCTCTCCTAGAAAGCCCTAGCTGGTATCCAACCACAGTTCCTCAAGCTACAGCCCAGCAACAGTAGGCTTTTGGGCTCTCTCTGTCCAGCAGCAGTGGAGTGAGCTACAGTAGGGACCCCTCCCCCATCCACCTCCGCCCACTCTTCCCGGGTGAGGCGTCCCATCCCAACATTTCCTGCTATTCAGGCCCGGAAATCCTCCCACTGCTGGGAACAAATTGGCCAGGACACTGGATCAACCCAGCGCTTCCTCCTGCTTCCTGTACTTCCCCTCGGGCTCTGGAACAGGGGTAGAGCCTTGGAGACAGGGTGCCTGCACAAGAGATCAGGCCTGACTAGGGTGGCCAGAGCCTATAGGGGTGCTCAGGGCAGAGGCCCAGGTCAGGGAAGCTGAGGCTCTGGGGCCACTCTTCCACCCCATGGCCTCACCACAGGGTGGCGCTACAACACTCTGACATGTCCAAGACACAATGACCATGCCCAGTTACGATCTGCTACCATCACTTGCCTGGACTATCACCACCACCTCCCCCTGGCCTCCCTGCCTCCATCTGTGTCCCTGCAACCTATTCTCCCCGCACAGCAGCCACAGCAGTACTGTTCAAATGCAAGTCAGATCACAGCTTTCCTCTGCTCCAACCCACTTGCGTGGCCCCCAGCTTCACTTACAGTAAGAGCCAAGGTCTTGGAAACAGCCTTGCACACTGACCTCATGGCCCACGACATTCCTCCTCACCCGCGCTGCTCCATCTCCCCCGCCCCACCTCAGGGTCTTTGCACTTCCTATTCCCGCTGCCTGGAATATTTTCCTCCAGACATCCCCTGGGTTCCCTCCCTCATGCTCTTGGCTGTTGTTGTTGTTGTTGAGACGGAGTCTCACTCCATCGCCCAGGCTAGAGTGCAGTGGCGCGATCTTGGCTGACTGCAACCTCCGCCTCCCGTGTCCAAGCAATTCTCCTGCCTCAGCCTCCCAAGTAGGTGGGATTACAGGTGACCACCACCACGCCAGGCTAATTTTTTGTATTTTTAGCAGAGACGGGGTTTCGCCATGTTGGCCAGGTTGGTCTTCAACTCCTGATCTCAGGTGACCTGCCTGCCTCAGCCTCCCAAAAAGTGCTGGGATTACAGGCATGAGCCACCATGCCTGGCCCTTCAGTTCTTCTTTTTTTTTTTTGAGACAGAGTCTCGCTCTATCATTTAGGCTGGGATGCAGTGGTGAGATCATGGCCACCATAGCCTCGACCTCCTGGCTGGAGCGATCCTCCCATGTCAGCCTCCCAAAGTGTTGGGATTACAGGTGTGAGCGACCACACCCAGCCCCTCCTTCAGTTCTTCACTAAAATGTCCCCTTCTCAGCAAGGCCTTCTGGCCACCCTTTCTGAAAGTGTGATCTTCCCCAACTCCCACATTCCCTTCCCTGCTTAATTTTGCCCTGACCCCTCATCTGACTTAGCACACATTTCCTCTCATGTAATGACTAGCTCCTCTCACTACAATGTCAGCCCCACGAGGACAAGGGTTTATGTTTCTGTCTAGACAATGTTAGGAACCATCAGGAACTTAGTAAGTATATTTTTTTGAATGAATGAATGAATGAATGAGTAAATGAGTGTCACAGCAGCCCCCTGCAGCCCTGAGGACAAAGTCTAGTCCTCCTGGCTGGGCCATCTGTGACCCAGCCTCTGCTGGTCAAATCCCTTCTCTCTCTTCTCCCTTCCTTGCACTCTGGCCTTCTCAAACTTCCTCCAAAGAGCTCGACCCCCTGCAGCCTCAGGGCCTTTGTACGTGCTGTTCCCTCTGCCTGGAATGTCCTCTCTCCCTTTTGGCTAGGGTTGGTCATTCCTACGCAGCCTTCAGAGTTCAGTTTGCTTGGGGATTTCTAGAAAACTCTCCCTCCCATTGTAATGATCAAATCCAGGAATCAAAGCATCCATTTGTAAAACTCAGCTCCACTAATTAATTCCTTTATTCCTCATTTTACAAACCTAAAAGAGACTTCTCCTGCCGTATTAGTGGTGAAATCAATTAATAAATAATAGTGACAATTGAGCTAAATCAGTCCCATTAATCATCAGCTTTAATTATTTAAATAACCAACCCCTTTCACTGCCTGTATTAACTGATTTGTTCTGATAACTGATACCACTTACTGCATACATTAGCTTAATTAATTGGATTAATGAGCAGTAATTAAAGCCCATTATCCTTCTTTTCCCCCAATGCATGTTTAAATCTAAGCTTTACCTTCAGGGCCTTCATCCTGGGCCAGAAGGAAGGGTGACGTTCCCCCAGAGGACCTGTAGGAGAAGGGGTGGGGAGGGGCTGCCGTCCTGCCCCACCCTGGCCCTCTTTCATGATGGTGGCCTGGTCCTCTGCAGAGGCCTGTCTGCTCTCTGTCCCTGTCTGTTCCCTTGGGCCTTGAGGCCTGGACATATGTCCTCAAGTGGAGACCTCCCCAAGCTCTGCCACCTGCCTCTCAGCTTTTCCCCTGCCCCCGATCCCTGGCTCCCTGCCTTCCCTCTCTGAAGCTCAACTTCCTCATCTGTAAAGTGGGCACAGTATAACTACCTCCCCAGAAGGGCGTGAGAAGGAGGGGTGCAAGTTCCCTGGCCCATGTGGGGCTCCTCTTGCTGTCCCAGCCTCTACCCATGAAGATCGGCCACCCTCCCAAACTGCCCCTCCTGGGGGGCTGGGCTGAAGTTGCTTTCCTCCCTTTTTTTTTTTTTTTTTTTGAGATGAAGTCTTGCTTTGTTGCCCAGGAGTGCAGTGTCATGATCTCGGCTCAC